CATATATCAGGATAACCATACGACGGGGCTTAGGCAGTATGCCAGGTTCGGTTCTATAACTTTGAATGATAGAGAAGCTCGATTTTCCCAACCAAAAAGGGAATTATTTGGTTTAATGTGATCTTTACAGGCTGCATCATATTGGCTTCTAGGATGTCGAAAACTAATTGTGGAAACAGACGCGAAATACCTGTCTGGTATGCTTTGAAACCCTGAAATGGGACCAAATGCAACTATCAACAGATGGATTGATGCATGTCTAATGTTCCATTTTAAGTTACAACATGTCCAAGGAAAGACCTTCAGCGCAGATGGATTATCGTGCAGAGATGCTCAACCAGGTGACGATGTGTATCCACCTTCAGATGAACATCTCGACGAACCCGTTGGTGTCATTGAAGTGTTACCAGATCCAGATGGAGGGGAGCCCCCTTTGGATTTCGAAACCTTCAAAGATCAAATTGACTCGAGGGGGGGATATATCCAACAATTGGCTCTAGACATCTCAGATTTTCAGGATGAACTAGACAGGGAAATAGCAATGACACAGAAAATAGCTAAAAATGTGAAAACAAGAATTGACAATGATCCAGGTCATACAGAAAGCAGCCCGGAACAGAAGGAATTTCTTCGAATTTACATGATTTCGACTTTAACTTCACCAGGCCTGGAAGCCAGATTTGACGAACTAGAGACAGAGCAACCTTACCCGGAAACTCATAGGTCATTTATTGGACAGTCACAGGATGAATTCCTTCTTATGCTAAGAGACTGGCTGAAAAATCCTAAAAAGATCGAAGGATATTCTGATAAAAAGTACGGCGCTTTCGTAAGATTTGCAAAAAGTTTCTTCCTGGACAAAGAGGATAGATTATATCGTCGAAGCATTGAATCACGTCACAAGCTAGTGGTCGACAAGTCTCACCAAATGTACATGATGAGATCTGCACACGATGCTATGGGACATAGGGGAGCATATGCTATGCAGAATATGTTAACGGAGCGTTTTTGGTGGCCTGAAATCGAAAGAGACATACATTGGTATGTGAAAACATGCCAGCGTTGTCAGGAACGTACCAAACGTGTAGTGGAAATCCCACCCACTGTGACACATACACCATCTATTTTCCAACGACTACATGCTGATACCATACACATGACTCCGAAATCTAATGGATGTAAGTACATTGTCCATGGGAGGTGTGCACTGTCAAGCTGGGTTGAAGGAAAACCCCTAAAAAGTGAAACTGCAAGAACTGTCGGCTGATGGCTTTTTGAAGAAGTCATCTGCAGATGGGGTTGTCTAGAAGTAATAATAACTGACAATGGTTCGGTTTTCCTTGCTGCTGTAAAATGGCTCAAAGAAAAATACGGGATAAAGGGTATTAGGATATCTCCGTATAATTCTAAGGCAAATGGCAGAATCGAAAGGCCCCATTGGGATATTATACAAATGCTCACAAAGTGCTGTGGACCCAAGAACCTTGCCAAGTGGTACTGGTTCTTTTGGCAAGTACTTTGGGCTGACAGGATCACGATTAGAAAAAGATTTGGTTGTTCGCCATTCTTTATGGTAACAGGCGCACATCCAATATTACCTCTCGATGTACAAGAAGCTACCTGGTTAGTAAAATTACCAGATCGTATGTTGTCCACTGCAGAATTGATTGGCTATAGAGCCAAAGCATTAGCAAAACACAGGCAGCATGTGGCAGAAATGCGCGAGAGGGTCACCTTAAAAAAAATAAAAAGAGTGGCAAAATATGAACTGAGCCACCGCCATAAAATCAGTGGTTGAATTTATAAACCCAGAGACCTGGTGCTTATCAGAAATTCGCAGGTATCCTCGTCATTAAATAGTAAAATGCAACCAAGATATCTGGGACCTATGATTGTGGTACGTCGAACAAAGGGAGGTTCATATATAGTTTGTGAACTAGACGGATCAGTCAATCACAATAAAATTGGAGTGTTCAGAGTCATTCCGTATTTCGCAAGAGAAAGGATCGACTTACCTGAGCACTTCAGTACACTTATTGATGCAAGCAATGAGGAACTGGATGAAATCGAAAACACAGGCGTTGAAGAAAGACCTAACGCAAGAGATTACTACTTTGAAGGAGTTAATCTTGATGGGTCTTCCGCAGATGAATCCAGGGACTTAGAAGAAATCAAAGATTTAAGTGAAGAAGAGGCTTAGTAGACTTATGCGTTAAATTGGCTAAAGTTTAATAAAACCTCCAGCAGTTTATAAACATAATGTGCAAGCGCCTTCTAGATTTTCCATGTGTAGTCAACTATACATGCGGGCTCTAGGTGTCTGTCTATGGAAAAAAGTTCGGATACTTCTACTACTCCTTAGTTACTTCACGCTCAGCAATCTGGGCAAGGGCAATTTCGTAATCAGCGACAAGTACATCACGAAGACGAAGCTCCAAGTCGAGGCACTGCATGCTGAGAAGAACACGTTCACGAAGATCGACCTCTTGCTGCTTGAAATAAGCAAGGGTGGGATAAGCTGGCATGCGGTTGGTAACAGCCGCATGTGTGTGCGCTAAGATCTCCCTGTACAAAGGGTTGTTGATGAGCAAGGAGTTGGCAGACTCGTCTATAACAAAGGACGAGCACATTAGTTTACGATTTATGAAGATAAAGATAAATACGAACTTTGACGAGACTGAAGGTCTGCTAAGCCACTGATAAAGGGTGGTTCAGTACGAGGGCGTTTGTCGCCGGCGCAACTGCCTTTGGCATGCTCAATGACAAGGGCCTTGTGAAATTCGCGACTGTTAGTGTCCATGCCTGGAACAGCATCGTAGGGAATGCTGACCGTTTCGGCACGCTTGGATTTGGCTGGGGTCTGTTATGTTCGGATAAAATATGAAGTTAACAACATGGCAGTGGACTCACGCAATAATAGCAGCTTACCTTGGGACCAGAGGCAGCGTGCTTCTTGCCTTTCTCTTTGGGAGAGGAAGTGGCGTCCTTGACTTCTTCGTCACCAAAGAGGTTGTCCACAGCCATCTGAGCAAAGCAGTACGCAATATTAAATTGTGTTCTGCTTGAAAGAAAATAAAAATAACGCACAGTATCAGCTGCAGTGATAGCGTAGGGGCCATCACACCCACCCATCGTAACGTTGGTATCTGAGGGGCCGGGGACAATCTCGACTTCGTCGTCCTTGTCCTCAACGACAGCCTTGGACTTGACAAGCTTGCGGGGATGCTGTTTCAAAATGTACCTGCACTGCGTTAATAAAATGAGAAAAGATGAACAAAATAAGTATAAATGTGCCTTGGCTTTAGCGGTGGACATTACCTCTGCAATCTCAGCCTGAGCCTGAGCTTGAGCAGTAACAGGTGGTGGAACGACCTGCGCAGCGGTGAGAACGGCGCAACAATATTCATCCGATTGCACTTTCCTCACTCCCGCATGACACGGTCTTCTCACTATCCTTTCTGCTCCCCAAGATGTCTGTCTCATATGCTCATTCTTGATCACTTGCATTGTATTATGTCACACTTTACGTAAGCATTGTAGTTATACCTCATGTACATGAGGCAATATCATCTTCTTACTATCACCTACAACTCTCGTATCATTTGGATACCAAAGCCCTACCAACGGCTCTGATCCAAATCTTGAGGTTCTAGCAGATAGGAAACACGAGCAACATTAACTACTCCTTCACTGGGATTGTCCGTGAAGGTTGGAGCACAGGTATGCTGAATGGTCACGTTCCATGGCTCCTAGCATTAACTGCACGGTTTGGACCAACTCCGTGGGTCTCCACACCTTTGACTGTCTAGTCTGCCAGACAATACCTTGACTGTCCCACTACCTAAGTGATACCTACATTAAGTAGCGGTTCACAAAGGTGGACACTGTGGGAACAGTCGACACTCTAGCTGACTATCGACTATCTAATCCAATTTGGTATTCTTACATCTGGTCCTTGCGTCTGATCTTCCCTTCCATGCTCTCATACTTCAATCACCCTTGTTCACCCTGTCTGACTACCGACAACCAAAGAAATCTACTCCCCCTGCAGGTATGTCGCTGTCGGTGACATGGCACCTGGATGTTGTATGACTAAAGAAATGGGGGGGCAGGGGTTGTGTGAGCTCACCTGGGTTGGCACACGACGTCGTCACTGTCCTCGTTGTCGCATCAATGTGGCAGGCACTCGTTTTCTTGCCAAAGCTGGTGACGTGGTGTTGCCGTGTTGTTCTTGTGGTGTTGGGGCATGCCAGGCTGGTTGTGGGTGGTCGACGAGGGTTGTAGGTTGTGGTGGCCATTGGTGACAGTGGTGGTGCGGCAGCTGTGGGTGAGCGTTGTGATGATGGTAGTGGTTGAGGCCTGAGGAG